CACATACAAAAAAATCATTTTTTTACCAGTCCGTGTGCAAAATGATTTTCATGTTAAGATTAAAAATACTTTTCTTCATCTACCAAATCTCAAATTTCATTTGTGTAATCTCTAAAACCTCCTAAATAAAGTTCAAATGTTTGTTGTCACTAATCTCTCTTTCTGTCATGCATACACACACACACACACACACACACATATATATATATATATATATAATTTCATCTACATTGTAGCAGGGGGGGGCATTATTAATTCTTGCACACGGGCCCCTTGTATTCTAGGATCGGCCCTCGACTCATACAGACAGATTCATACCTGTTAACTAACCCCCAGTGGCTCAGCGGTAAGTCTGAGGGCTAAAGGCGCTAAAAATGAGATTTCGATATCCGTATTGGGCACTGCACATGTAGTCCATAGTGTAGCTTTGCGCTTTACAACAAACAAACAAGCCTGTTAGATATAAGGATAATTTCATAAATATCTTGTCGTATAAAGCTTAGGTCGTAACCAGTGACCAACATGATTTTCATTAGGAAATAGTTAAAAAATTAAAAGAGTTTTCATCTCTCATTATTTGACAACATTTTAAATAGTGTGTACGCCTCTCGTCAAGTTAGTTACGATGTGCCTAAGTTGGTCTTTCTAATCAAGTCTCGCTGTTAGGTATCGAGAAATAAATCTAAAACATCTTGAAATTGTAATGACCATAAATTTCAGTTGTGTATAGCTTTAAAATCAGTTCTGAGATAAATGACATAGCTAGTAATAAACTTTAACACTCTTAAGTTGTTTATCAATGTGATTGTTCTCCATGTGGACGATATTTTGTGGGATCAACCACGCCTTATTTTGAGCAGCTTATCAAATACCATTGGAAGCTTAATGCTAGTAATTAATTAAACATGTAGACAAATAGTTTGATGTAATTTAGTGGTGAAAAGAACTTTGATATAATTTGTAGTTCCAAAAATGAGATCAAGGTATACGGCTCAAAGGGACTACAGCTATCAAGAAATTAAAACTAAAGTTGAATTCATCAGCGATAGAACTCGTTCCAAAAATATTGTTACATTGTTTAACCAAATCATGACCTACGTATATGATTTACTTATATGCATAAATGTTTGATTTCTTACCTTAGAGCATTAAAACTCAGGTCTACGTATTTCGCCTGCTTTCCATAAGCATCTCTCAATGAAGGTGGGATTCTTTGTAAGTGAAGGTTATTAAAAGACAGCTGTGAAGTTCAAGAATATTATTGGTTGTATTATTGTACACAAACGTATGTTGCTCATTGCACATTATTGTCATATTGAATATTATAGAATTTTAATTATGAGTAAAATTGAATTAGAATAATTCTAATGATTCACCACATTTTTTCCATTAATTATATAATTATATAAGCGATATTAAAATTTAGATACAGTTGACCATTAAAATTCTATAAACATAAACCTCGGTTTTTAGCCTATTTAGGGAGGATGGTGGTGGATGTTTATCCTTAAACAACAATTAGATCCCCGTAGGATGCGTTAAACTGAGTATCCTGAAGTCCGAGAATATTGGTGTTAATTGCGTAGAGGGCATCTCGCATTATTGTGTTTACTTATAAATAAATCTGAGAACTAACAAATATGCACCCTTTTCTCACTTGATTTCTTCTATATATCTCCATACAACTAGAAAAATTACCATTTTGCCAGGAGTCATTAAAACAATTAACTTATAAACATATTTAGGGCAAATATCCTGGTTTAAATCTTGGAATCGAGGTAATTTAAAAACGATTTTAAAGATATGTGAATACTCGTAGCATTTTTGTTCTAGTGATATGATTATGTAGATTGCTCAAATATTTAAGCACCCATAGTCAGCCCTGCTTGGACTGTGAATCCGAGTTACCATAGTTTGCGACCCATTGCCACAAAATGCTAAGCATTTTGGGGCTGTGGCTACACTATAAAAGTTACAGTCAAATCATACTATATTATTATAGAAGAGTAGCTCAAGAGTTGGCAGTGGATGCTTTTGCTTAGCTGATTTCCCTCTAGTGTATAAGTTCAAAATTAGGGATATCTTTGAGCGAAAGTTTGAAACAAACCTAATAAAGTATACATTCACACGTACACACCTATTTACACGATTGAGCCATTGAAGATAGGTCTGTTAATACGTTTAAAGTAATGTATGAATTTTAAGTAACGATGAAATATTAAGGTGTAGGATTCGTCTCTTTGTTTTATATAATATAAAAATGTTAAACAATATGGATGATATATTTATATAGAAAAAACGCTTTTTTGTTTTTATATTAGTCTTTCGTATTTAAACCACAAGCTTCAGCAACGTGTGTGCCGATGCAAGAAGAGTCAAAACCGAGTTACCCATTCACAATTGTTTCATGTTAAGGTAAGGAATATCGTTTAATCTTTCAAGTGGATTACTTTCGACCTATCGTGCAATAGGGTTTGCTTCCTTTTAAGAACAAAGTATCTATGAATTGTATATACATTATGAAAACATAGATGCATTCAGCAAATATAATTCGACATCATTTTCGATAAAGAGTATATAATATTCATGAGAAAATGTTAAATATGTGACTGGTTATTCTCCTTCAACATATGGGAGGCTATGACCTCTAGGTATCATCTGTCTTACCAGTGAAGAACAGTGCTATCTTTGGCCTTCTTGCACAATCTTCAACATTATAGCAATATTTTATATAGAGCAAAGGTAGCTAGAACAAAGTCAACAAAGTCAACTATATAAAAACTGCTACATTCGGTATAAGCAAAAACAAAATTGAAAATTCCTACATTAAAATGAAAAGATAGAAAACGTATAATATGCCTGCATATAACATTAGTAAGAAAAGCTATGTGATGTTAAAAATGAAACTTAATTCATTATCATAATTTTGAAAACTATTATAATGTGGTACTCTCAGGTGCACTGATTTCCTTTTAAAAGTAATGGGATAGGAGGAGCAAAAAAAAAACAGCCTGAATCATACAGCCTCGACTGAATATGAAGTACTGAAATATTCTGAACACAATACACAACACAGTGAATCAACCTTTACTTTAAAAAAAAGGCAAACACATGTATATTTTTAACAACTTTACTGGAAAGCTATCAGGGAATAACTATGTGGAATTTCTGTATTATCACAATACGCTCTTTCAAGTGAAAACAATTCATTATATACGAAAAACAACAATACCATTTTTTTCAGGGCATAGTGACTACCAATGTGACTGATGGTTCCTCTCACTACAAAAGAAAAACCACTGTCTATGTCAGTACAGGATGCTCCACTTTAAAGGAATCTTTCTTACGAGAAATTTCATGTGACACCCTAGTTGAGTGACCCAGTTCAGTAAGTAACTATAGCGAGTTTAACTTAGTTCTCTTCACTGACATTTAATATTTAGACTGCATACTTAATGAGCGCAGAAGTATTGGAAAATGTTATATTAGCTAAGGAAATATGTAGTATACCTGCATACCATATTAACTCGGATAATACTGGGGAAAAAAACTCTAAACTTTCTCATAAAAAGATTATATGTTGCTAAATAACATTGTTTAATTATGAGATTGTATATTCTGTAGTCGAAGACAAATGGATTTCTGAATCACTTTACGACTTTCATAATACATTCCTACAAATATTTCATATTTATGTTTAGCAAAAGACTTATATTTTCTGGCGCGGAAGAGAAAAGTAATTAAGTGTAGGTATTAAAATGAAAGCATTTAATATTTTTTTAAAGCATTTCTCCTTCAATAAGTCTTATCAACTGTTAAAATGCTAACCCATTGACATCTACTTTAGGAACTGTTATAATAGTGTTATTGTATATGGCGATTATAATAAACGGATTGTTATTATGTGTTTTCATTTACTTCATTTAAAAATAAATTAAAAACGCATATCGTCATTCCTGAGTATTTCATCCTTCAGTTATGAAAATTTTATTAATTTATGATTCAATTTAAAATGAGACATTCTGGATATAAAAGATACGGTAATAGGATTTGAAGCTACAAGATATTACATTCAATATAATTCAGAGTAAACAAACACTGTTCACAAAATTACCAACGTTCGGTAATTTGAAATCATTCTTCTCATATCATGTTCATAAACATGTTTTCTCTAAAAATATCCTACATTATTACAAACATGTATCAGTATTTTTTTTCTTGTTTTAGGTCAAACAAGATTCTAATTCCTTGTCTTCATATAACCAACGAACCAACTCTTCAGCTTCTGGAAACAATAACAAGAAGTAATTTAAAGTAGTAGTAGTAGCAGTAACACTACGCCAGGCAGCATCACCAAAACAAAACATAAAAAATATATATCAGTCAATAAGTTTATCGCTCTTTTACACCAATTAGGATCTCATGTTCATAAACGCTTTTTATTTCACCAATCATGGTACTCCAGCATGAATATTTATACTATTTTGTTCAAAACGAATACAGTCTAGCAAATCTCTAAATTCCTCATCATCGTTGATGAATATTGTTGAGAGATGAGTTCTTGTGGCGTAAAATGTGGTTTCTAAAGTTAATAGATCGAATCCTTTATCAGAGTACATTTTTTGGTTCTATCTTGAAGACCATAAACTATGACCCCTCTTTGTAATCCACCAAGTCTCCCAAATTCGGTCTCATCGAGTCGCAAACTAAGGGTTTAAAAATGTGGGTTTAATCAAACAAAACTAGAAAAAGGGAATATCAAATATTCACGTTCTCGGAGGATGGTTAAGTTTCTGAAAATATGAACAGAGGTCAGTTTACTGATTTAGAACTCTAAAATCCGACGTGGTGGACAGAGCGCAGATAGACCATTGTGCAGATTTGCGCTCAAACAAGCAAGCAGCCTGAACTAGGCAATGTGAACGCATCCTATAAACTGTGGTTTAATACAGGATTATTGCATTATCAACTTAATTTAGGATAAGCTAAACTATGAAATATTGGCCTATTCTAAAATAGTAACATAACATTGGAATAATAAAATATACACCTCCGGGGATAAGCAAGTATTCATCGTATCTATAGTTTATATAGATATCTTATGGAAGCTGAGTTTCAGGTGTACCATGTTTTAATGTTATTTGAGCCTATGATAATGTCCAAAAACTCGATTTCTTCATCCAGATATTATGTAATCTTGAATTTTGCAGCCTTTAGCTTATGCATATACACTTGCAATATGTTGTAGACTCTGAAACCGTTTCCAACTTTAGTGATCCTCAAGTATCTTTAAACTGCATCTTGTTTATAGAATATTATGCATCCCTTACATCTTTCACTTTAAAATTAATATATTCACTATCTCAAAGTAGAGCAATAAAGCTGAAACATACTGCTTCAATAAACGTTGTCTATTTCAATTAACTCTGGACTTTTTATTGTACTGTGATTTCGTTTAGAAAATAATCTCATAAAAACTTTATTACTCAAAATTACGATATGTAACTGAATTTTCTGTCAGTCATGTTTTATAATTTATCAAGCTTTATTCAAAGTAATCAAAAACCACTTGTGAAATTTTCTGTCAGTCATGTTTTATAATTTATCAAGCTTTATTCAAAGTAATCAAAAACCACTTGTGAAATTAATATTATTTCGTTATGTTGTACATGAGTAACCACGTAAGGAACTTACCACGTCAGCGTGGAAAGCGAGTATAGGTGCAGAAAGGTTCATGGCCGTACTCTCGGTTTACACATATACACACCACACTTAAAGTTTTGTTCCCCACAGTATTGATCTGCTTTTTTATATAGTTAACAAATCTATGCAGGGGCTGATAAGAATGAACAGCATTCATCTTGACTGGCTATGAATTCAACAATTATCCTGAACAAAAAATATATTAAGATAAAAGAAATAAACATCAACTCCCAAGTTTTTTTACCTTCCTGCATTGTGTTACAAATGATTACGTTAAACCACCCATACGTGATGTCACGAGTTTTGAGTCATAATATATAAATAATCTTCAGATAAGATTATTTTAATGGAACGTATTAAAATGTTTTTGTTAGTAACGAATTATTGCCCTTGATATTTGATTAGTATTGATATTTGGTACATTTAATCCAAATATTGACTATAATTATAAAGTTGGCTTTTAATAATTAAGTATAAGTTTCTGAATGTTTGTTCTTTTATCCAAAATTGCAGAGTGGCGGATTGTTTTAAACCATACAAACAAATGTTCTTACTTTTTCTTGTTGTTCTATATATAATATATATATAGCATTACTGTGTTACATTAATTTGATAATAGTAC